CCTCAAAGTTTCCAGATTCAGGAAACTCTTGTGTACCAGAGTAATGCTAATGAAAAAAGGCAAAAACCCCACAACCCATTTTATCCATACTCTTACCTCTATACATTGTTAGCTACAGCACTCCTTCCACAAACACCCTCCCACCTTCTCAGCCCATCACTTTTATCTCTTCCTCCTCATAGGCTCTCTTAAATTTTCCAAAAGAAACAGGAAACATCTGCACACATCAGCTGTGATTTACTCATAATTTTCCATCAGTGACTCATCTCAGAAGCTTGGTTAAGAAAAGGCAGACCACTTAGTATCTTCTAGCTCTGGCTTTATACTTCCTGTGTGTCATGTGGTGCAGCTAAAAGTAAGTTCCAGGTTTTGAAAGCAAACGTTCCTTAAACATGTTTGTCCTGACAACCAACCTCCCATTTGCACCTGTCTTGCCTATTGCCTATGATAATTTTCTCCTACCTGTTAAAGCACAGGGGAGTACTTTGCTTTTTAAAACACACTTGCTTCCTCTCTAATGCATACAGACCCTGCAGCTAATAAAAAAATACTTTCCATTAAAGAAATGCTTTCTGTACACAACAAATGTACAAGTCATGATGAAGCACAGCTGAGGAACCAACACCAAAATGATGCAGAAGCATTACAGCTGTACTAAGGAGATACCAAAGTAGCATTTCTGAACTTAAGCAAAGTTAAATATATTGCTTTCCTAGAGTTTGACTGTTTAATCTGAAGTTAGAATTTTTCAAAAAAGAAAAAAAAGACTTCTGGGATTTTTCTTAGTTAAATACTCAACTCCTTCCCCAAAGTATTGCCTTGACAAAACATTATTGACTGACAGCTAAATACATACATTGATGGTGAAAGAATTGGCTTTTAAGCTTACCATAGTTTTAACTAAAACCTTCCTATTCTTTTTCTACTTCTGAACAACTAAGATATGAAATGAGACTGGAGTTTATACCCAGCAGTAAAGCTGCTGACATAACTACTTTGTACTGGATGTACTTAGTACATTCACATAATACTACACCAACTTTTTGAAGCACTGTATTGAGTTCCTGACAAAATCTCTTTTGCCATACACACTTAGAGGCCTTTCAAATACAAACAAGTGTAGCTGGGATGAGTCATCCTTTACAAATCATTGATTAACAGGGTGTATGAGTGCAAACAAAACAGCCTGCTTACTCTCCATTAGCTTTGTTTCAAGACTAAGGTACCCAGCTATATCCTAGCAAGTATAAAAAGAACAGAGAGAGAACAGCTAGTTGCCACCCATTTCGTATCCATCACTGCTCCAGAAAGAGCACAGCTTGACCTGAAGGGCCATGATCACTTGCTAGTAGTGGCAGCAGTTTTAGATATTTATTTATGTATTTATTAATTATTAACATCTGAAAAAAATCTAAGCATGCAACAAATAGAAGACCATCCAATGGTCAGGTCTCCAATTCCATGATACGTTTCAAAAGATAATGCTACAGGGCTACAGTAGAAAACATCCAAATAGGGAACTTCTCTTCCACACCTGTATCTACGGGAATAATGGGATACGAGAGATCTAGTGAGGATTCATACTACTACTGTTGCAAAAACACAAATTCTGCTGTTTCATTAGTACACTCCAACAATTCCTGCATATTTACAACATACACATTTTTAATTGTGGTATCAGAGCAGCTCTGTGATTTAAATATCTTTAAACCTGTATTTTTTCTAACTACTCTTGCCCTGGGAAAGGCAAAATAAGTTTCCCAAATGTGTATAATATTTTGCAAGAAGACAAAGCATTAAAATGTTAAAAAGAAGCCCTAGATATACCTCTTTACAACTGGATGTATGCACTGCTTGCCCTTTATTTGCATTTTGAAGCCTAAGAAGCTCATTGAAGCTCACCATGAGCCCATTTCTTCTCAAACCTTACTCAACTTTAATAGAATCTCTGTTGTTATTCAGCAATGTAAATACACACAATTTTTTCCACACTGAATAATCATTACAAAATGTTTGTTCCCCTACATATTCAAACTATATTGTGTCAATATTTCCACAGATGAAATAAGTATTATATTTGACCAGACTTTAGATCAAGGGGACAAGTCTGCTCATTGCCATTGACTTTGGATCACATTAACACAGAGTGCTTATACTATAAATAAGCCAGGTAATTTCCTTTATACATTAGATTTTATTTCATACAATCATATATGTTACCACTTACCTTTCTATATAGAAATGCATGCTTTGGTGATTACTAGATATAAAAATGTAATACTGATATATGACAGTCATAGTTTGCTTTACTATCATGCTAAAATTCCCGCGTCCACATGAACTCCCATAAGTGGCCATTGTTTTCTTAGGGCAAATTAGAAACTGGTATGTGTCATCACATATACCGACCTTGGAAGCTGTTCCAAGGGGCAAGTATTCCAAAACACCTTTGGCTGGTAAGTATGTAAAACAAGGAGTTTTATTAGTCATCTAGAAAACACCGAAATGTATTATATTACCCACTAGATGCAGCATTGTGATTATGTACCATTGATACTTACTTCTATACTCCAAATGAATATCTAAACACATTATATATAGACTCGTTTATATTATGCAATGCACCATATATGGATTAGGCTTAAATGCATACACATAAGGAAGACATGTATACAGATATTATCATACTTCAGAGAACTTTGGTTAGTGTAATGTATTATTTATTTCCTTGCCCTCCATCAAGCCATTAGCTGGAGTGATAATTGATCAAGAAATTGCATTTTAATTGTGGTAATAGAGGAGCTTTGTGATTTATTCCTCTTTGTTTTGTTTCACTACAAAGTAATCATCTTCGCTCAGATGTTAAACCACCCACCCAATTTATCTATTAAAGCAGTTTCACAGTCATATTTCATTAATCTCTGTAGGCTCCACAATGGGTATGGCAATTTCTCTCCTTCACGGGGTAATTTCTTAATTATGATGGCGTAGGTTATTGCCTCCTCAATTTACACTTATACTAATCTACTATTTTTGTTAATTTTGCAGATGATGCCATGATTTTGCCTTATTTTGTTAAATACAATAGGCCTCAGCCTGTTCTCTTTTAAACTGATGTTACTAAGCAAGGTTATGATTGCAAGTGCATGGCCAATGGAAGTAATAAGCTACAAGACGTGAAAAGTATATCCCGAGCTCTCTGGTAAGCAGAACTTGTCCTAAGTAGACCTAAAGAGAAACAAAAACAAAACACTGAAATAAAATTTGGTCTGAACTGCAAATGACTACAGTATCTTCCTTGACAACTTATATTTACTAGTGCAATAGTCACCTGTTTTCAAAGTACAACTTTGAAACTTAACTTTCTTCTACTTAAAGGGGGAAAAAAGTGTATGTGTAACTACCGTGATAAGAATGTATTCATAGAAGAATTTGATTCACTTGTCTAGTATACCTCCTCTTGGTTATACTTTTATCTAAGGGATAAAATACTCAAACCAAAGTAGCAACAGAATTCAAAGAGCAAAGAGTTAGAATCTTCTTCCGAAAAGATATGAGAGGTCTTAAAGATGCAAGCTGTAAGATAAGGCTGAAATGCAGTGCTGAAGACCTGATTTTGAACTCCTACTATAATATTTCTCTCATCTAAGGCTACTGATGCAGAAAATTGTCGATTCCCTTCTGCCCTCTCTGTTGCTGTCCTCCAAGGTGTGCAGAGTACTTTATATGATTCAGCTACTACTGTTGATTCTCAGAGTGCAAGAGTAGTTTAAAGACTGCTTTTCCCTTCATGGTTTGTTTTAATCTTATTTGGTCTCTTTCTAAGTATATACTTGGTGAAATAATGGGGTAGTGGCAAGTAACCTTGTGCTGTACATATGACTTTCAAATAATATTTGTAAAATGCATTTGCCATACTGTATTTACATTGGTAGCTCCCAACCAGTGTGTAAGACTTGTCATATTAACAATAGCCTACACACAGGACCCTTGTCATTGATTTCCATCCTATGCAGGACATGTGGGCACATTTAGACCTTTAATTGCATCATGCATGGCAATATATTGCAGTCTTTACTTATAGATGATCTTCATACACTGTTTACAAGACTTCATTAAATACTTGCAGTCTTAGCCTGTTAGTGCTTATTATCTAGATGTATGCTTAGCATATGATGTATATTATCTGCAAGACAGCAATGTAACTTTTGCTGTGTGTGATGCTCTTGCATGTATATGTAAGTGCTTACCCTGTTGTCAGTTCTCAGTTATGCTGACCTATGTCTTCAATATCTCACTGCCTCTCAGTTTAGCAGTCAATACATAAATGCTGCATCTGTTTTCATTTCAGTGCCTGAATTTTCAAATGGGATATTTTCTTTCAGTCCAACGACATCCAATAAGGACCATAATTTCCATATTGCAAAGGGGCTGTCTTGTATTCATTAATGGAGAAAACTGATAATTCTTTTTTAATTTTTTCTCTATTTTAATTAGAAATCAGTTGTTTAATTGTTAAGAACACTTGTTTACACTCTTGGCACAGAGGCACAGACGTGCCCTTGGAAAGCCATAACTTAAGAAAGAAAAAGCATAGGTAAGTGAAATTCGATGAATAATTGATTACCGGAGTAACTACATAATTACTGCAGAACGTGACGGACAATTTTGACAGTGCAGGGGAAAATAAAAAGCTACAGACAAATAAAGCCCTATTCTTAAAAATCAGTCACATTGCTCATACCGGACTGCACAATAGCCATGCAAGAGCAGCTATGAAAGGGGAGATTGCATGACATCCGTTTATAATGTGCCTTTCTCCCGCTTAAACATTGCAACATGTATTACAATAGCAGAGGTAACGAATCAATTAAAGGGGACTTGGCCCCCGCGGCCGCCCCCCTGTTTCCCCCTCCTTCCTTCTCCCTCTCGCTTTCCCCCTCCTCCCCTCCCGTTCCCCCAGACCGTGCCCTCCCCGGAGCCGCTCGCCGCTGCTCGGCGGCTTTGTAGTTCCCGGCGCCGTAGCAGCAGGACCCGGGGCCCCTCCGCGCCCGCCGGCTGACGCGGCCACTTGGATCTATCTGTATGCGATGCCTCCCGCCCTGCGCGCTAGCAGCAGCAATACAGATAGCGGGCCTCAAAGAATTCTCTCCTGAAGAAGGATTTTATTATTATTTATTTTTTTATTTTTATTCCTAGGGTCCTGATACTGGGAAGACATCCAGTTTCATCCCCCTTTTATTCAAAAGTCTCCTCAACTGCTTGTCGTCTTACGCGCGCTTTCTCCCTCCCTCTCTCTCTCTCTCCGTACAAGTACCTATAGATACATCCTCGCTCTATGCAAGGAAAGTTGCAAAGGACTGTCGGGATGACGGAACCGCTAGTTTTCTGAGAGCCTACTGAGCCCGGAGGGTAAGTCCCCCAACTATCGAAGTACCGACCGGTGCGAGGCTCTCTCCTGCAGCCCCGAGGGGCGTGTGTGGGGTGGGGGGGGATCCGCTCCCCTCTCGGCCGCTCTCGAGCACCGGGTCCGGGCGAGGCAACAGTTTCTCGGCGGCGCCGGGAGAGGTCACAGCGGGAGAAGGGGATGCTGCAGGGACCAGCGCGCAGGGGCAGCGGAGGGAACGGTCCAACAAGTTTCTCCGCAGGTACCTGCGGCGGCCTTATTGTCTGGGAAGTTGCCGGGGTTTCCGCGGGACGGCGGCCCCAGCTTTATTGCCGCCCTTCGGCTCGGCTGTTATTAACAAAGAAGTTTCACCGCTGAGTAGCTGGGTCCCTCCCCCGCTGTGCCCGCCGGCCCCTAGGGCGATCTCGGGTGCTTCCCAGTCTGACAGTCTCCCGCGGCCGCGGACCGGGAATCGGCACCGCAACTTCTGGCGGGGCGATCCCCGCATCCCGGGGACCGGAGCCAGAAGCGACGGCTTTGTTTTCGCTGCGCTTGCCATAACCTTCTCCCTTGTCGTGGGGATGCCGCCGCCGGGAGCCGTTCCGCCAGGGGAAGCACCCTCCTCCTCCCCAGCCGGTGCCGATCCCCTGCGGGGCGGACACCGAAATGCAATGGGACGGTGGGGGAAAGATGCGTATATGTGTGTGTGTCCATAGGTATAGAAGTATCTTTAGAAATAGCGACAGCACGGGAGAGGGGACTATGATAGCGCACCCACTTGGGGTGCTGGGGAGGGGAGCGGCTCCTCTGCGCAAGGGCTTGAGGCCGAGGGCGGGAGGGGGAGTCGCAGTCCGCTGGTGTGCGGCCTCCCGCACAATGGAGGGTCCCCGGCGCGGCAGGGGTGGAGAAGGAGCAGCAGCAGGAGGAGGAGGAAGAGGGAGGTCTCCGGCTCCGCTGCAGCAGCTGCTGCTGCAGTGCCGCAAACCCGCGCCGCTCCCGCCCCGTGGGGCAGCGCCCCCGCGGAGGATACTCGGCGCTGCGCGCACGGAGCACTGCCCTGGCCCGGCACTGCCAGGGACGGGAACCGAGCCCCGCGCAGTTTTGCGCGCCGAGGGGTGGCGGGCGGTGCTGGGGGCTGCGGAGCGGAAGGGGTGTAGGGGGCGTGGGTCCTCTCCTCTCCTCTCGACTGCCTCGCTCGTCCCCTTGGCGGTTTGGGCAGGCGGGAGGGTCAAGCACAAGCGTCTCCGTAGGTGCAGGGTCAGCAGCAGAGGTGTTGCCGCACCTGAGTGTGAGGCTGCTGAATTAAAACAAATGGACTACGAAGGGAGAAATGCAAAACGCATCTGCGAAAATCAGAGCGCATTCAAGTTTCACAGGAGCAGTATCCGTGTTTTTGTAAAATGTTGGTTATTTTTTTTCTCCATGTTCACTGGGCTGTGTTAAGGCTCAAAAAATTGATTTAAATAGGCTTGAGATGTTTTTCATTTTAATTTCACCTGCTCGTGTTTCACATTTCAGTTGGAGAAAGTAATTCTTTAAAGTTGCTGGTCATTCTGAGGACATTGAAGAACTTTAGAGGTTTTGGGTGAAGGTGGGGTATGTTTTGTGACATACCTGCTTTTCACAGATGTGTGGCTAGAAGGCACAGTTCTCTAATCCTAGCTCATTGTGCATGTTGAGGTTGAACTGATAGGCAAGAGCTGCCACCTGAGAAGGCTTCTTATTAAACAGAAGTACACACTCTTCATTAAGGAAAAAGAAGTTTTTGTTGAATGCAGTTTGTAGACAAAACAGGTTAAGAATGTCCTGTTATATTATGGAGAAAAAAAGGCTAATTTCCAACCGTCATGTCTGGCTTTTTTTTTTTTTTAACTACATGCTTCTTAATTCATTTTTTATTTGGCTGCATGCATGTTTTCTACTTGCATCTTACACTGCTGTAAACTCCAGGGGCATTACGCTGGTGTAAACAGGCTTTAAGAGTGTGGAAAGAGACTTATCTTTTAGTGATTAGGGACAAGGAAGGAAGGAAGGCAGAAAGCTAATAAAATGATTCTAGTGATTCTCAGAGAGGTTCATTGCTTTTCAGTGTTTCAGCAAACACTGCCAAGCTTCTGCTAATTGTGTAGCAATTGTGTCCCAAGCCCCTACAATAACACTCCTGAAAGCATTTTTGGTACCATGACTGATGCCCAGAAGCTGCGCTGATTTCCATAAGAATACTCACAAAAAAAAAGAGGACACTGTTGTGTCAATGTGAAACAGCTCAGTGCTTGTTGATTGACCTTTTTAGTCAGTGAGGAGAAATTTGAACTCTTACCATTTGTTTTCTTTTGTAATATTGAATCCTCAATATTGGATATCGACCAGTTGAATATTGGAGAAATGAGGACTCAACCAATTTTGCAGTGAGGGATCTGTAAGTGTCTTCACCAAGGCATAAACAAAAGGTTTATTAGACGTAGTCTCCCAATAGGTTTTTAAAGGTAACTGAACTCTTAACATTTGAGTTCTGTTGCTTTTCTTTGCTGATATTATTTCATCTATTCCTGCATTTTATCTTGGTTTTTCTTCACTTGGTGGACTTTTCATATTGACTTGCTGTAACTGGATTTGGACCACAACAAGCAATATAAATCCACATGGACATTTTATATAGGAAGTACTTCCTTTGAATAACTTTTCAAGGCATATGTGCACATCTGAACTTCAGCCTAAGCAAGAAAGGCAAGTGCATTAGCCACAGGAGACTCGGGGGTGGGGGGTTGAGGTGAGGCTTTGTGGGAACAATGGAAAATTTCAGTGTACATAGATGAGCAAATGCTATACACTTTCTTCATGTGTAAAGTATTATACAGAACTTAGAGTAGAGAGTATTTCTTCTTCTGTCTTGGTTTCCATGACTTATTTGTTGTGGCAGTGGCAGGTATAAATTTATCAACCTTGTATAGTTCATTAGGAAAGTGTGTAAAAAGGAGAAAAAAGAGGGTAAAAAAAAAAAAAAAAGGTGGGAGGAGGATGGGTTTTGTATTTTCCTGCCTTTTTATGTGAGAGGAATTCTACAGGCTGTGATCCTTCTGGGGTGGAGTCAGCTGTCAAGCAAAGGAGTCCTTAGGTCAAAACATGAAAATGATTGGGAAACCGTGATTTTTTGTTTGCCCAACTCTTACACTTGCTCTTTTAAGTGCTTTCTGTGTCCTCAGAAATACCTAGCAATCTCATCTTGCTTTGTTTAGAGCCAGACCTGGACTCCCAGGTAGCAGGTGATGGAAGTTACATGTGTAATGTGTCAATCCATCAGGGGCTACAAACCTATGTTTGTGAAAAAAAGAGTTGAAAAGTTAAATAAAGTGGGTTTAAACTTACTTTTCCCACCTGTATATCTTCTCCAGATAGCTTGTTCTGTGGCTTAAACTGCAAATCGTCGTTATTTTCTAAATATTTGTAGTATGTGTCTTTGTATTAACTTGTATCTTTATATCATTGTTACTTTGATCTTTACTACATCTTTATTAACATACAGGAGCAACAACTTTAAATATTTTTATCTCCTCTGTTAAGGAAAATATTAGAATAAATTCAGATCAAGACTAAACTTTCTTGGTAATTTTATTTGTGAACACTTTATTTTTACACGTATTAGGCTCTATAGAATTGAGCACCCAGTTCCAGGTTCAGAAGGAGCTTGTGGTCTAATGGTTTTGCCATGTCTTTCTGCTTTCCGTAATAGCTTAACCAATTTGAGTGGATTTGAACATATATTTGTCTGCTCAGTCCATAAATCTTTCTTTCCCTACCCATCAGCTCTCTCTCACCACTGTCAGTTTCTAGTTTGTGAAACACATCAGTCGTTTGCCTCAATTAACTCTCTCTGTCCTCCAAAGTTCTTCACTCATTAATCTCTCCTCATCCATATTGAAGTCTGAGTACATACCTACCATCCCTCTGCCTTTGCTGGGCATCTCTGTGTATCTTCCATAAGGACATTTCTGTTTGTTTGTTTCCAGTCCTGCATCATCTGTCTTTTGTTAGCCATTTCTAGGTCTGTGCTTGAGATCTACCAAGTCATGAGATTTTCTTGTTTTCAGATGGTATATTTATTTCCCCAGGCGTCCTTTAGCTTTCTCCTCTGTCAGTAGTGAGCACATTGAGTGTATTTGTCCTTTTCCCCTGCTTGACTCAGTTGATCCTTACACCAACAAAATCACTGTGGCAGGAGAGGGAAAATGAGGAAACTGCAGCGTGACTTGGTAGCCTACAGGTTATCCCCAGCCTGGGGCAGGTATTGCTAATTCTGGTCTGACTTCTCTTATGGAAGAACTGGCTTCAGACAAATACCGTGCAGTTACAAAGTTAAAAATTGGTCTAAGGAGTTACCATCCAGAGCCCCGAAAGTCTCGTCTTCAGCTAAGTGCTTGAATTCCTGAGCCACAGACTGTTCTTACATGTTATTTTGGCCTGAAGTGTAGTGCCTTTCTCCTTGCAGCCTGGCATAATAGGGATGGAAGATGCCACTTGCCCATCTTCCTTGAAGTGTTCTTGAAACACAACATGAAATAATTTGCTAGAACTGTGGAGCCCTAATTTGTTAGGGCTGGCAAGAGCCATGATACCTGAATTTCTGGCAAGAGGGTAGCTGGAATTGAGGTACCTTGCTTCTGCATGAAGCCATTCCTGCACAATATATCATTCCTTATTTTCTCCTCAGTCTTTTGAAGTAAAGTAGCTGCCATGGTTTGTACTGTGCTTCATGCTGCCTGGATCTTCACTATGCTCAGAGCACAGGGTTTTCTACCAGCTGAGGAATGGCACTGAGTTCAAAAGCCCTTTCATCTTGATTCTGTATTGCTGTGGGGTTAATCCAAGTTCCCTAGCTGAGAAAGTTCTGCATCATCCCCATCTCTCTGGAGAAATTTTCAAGCTGAAGAGAGAAGCATCTTAAGTAACAATTAGAACATGGCTTTTTCTACATCACTTTCTTGAATTTAGGGGAAATGATTTTTCATAAAATCCATTGCGTGCTCTGACTTTCGCTCTTAGAGCCTCTGATAAGTGAAAAAACAGTTGTGTGGGGGGAACAAAGAGTGAACTTAAGTCTGTATCTTTGTTACTCTCCATAACAATAAGTCTACTCCACTCCTAAAAATAGCGTAAGGAAGAATTTGTCTCATCTGGTAACCAGGATTCAGTTGCCAACAATGGTAACTTTTCACACTGACAAGTTTGTTATAACAATGACTATATATTCAAAAAGTAGTATCT